GTGACATAAACAAAGAAAGGTGTATGTATAAATAAACATAATCATACAGAAAGAAGGTTAGCCAAACTAGTAATGAAATGCAAACTTAAAAACTATTAGTTTAGCAATGATGACACTAACCATGGCTAAGGTGTGGGAGACAAAGAATATTGCACAAGGCCAGCAGAAATCAACTTGGGCAGGAAGTATGATGGAAGTTTGATGTATATTATCAAACAGGCCCCAGTTATTTACTTGGGAAAACAATAATTTGATTCCAAGACATGACTCTAAAGAAGTAATCTGAACTGCTTCATAAAGTTGTGCTAACAAAAACATGGGAGTAATCTCGATGTGCAGAAAGGGATTCTCTAAATGAAATGACAATTGTGTTTTACTAGTAGGTTCAAATATTTTTGAAAAAAATCTATACAATGTGACTTACTTTGGGGAATAAGATCATGTCAATGAAAATGTAACATACAAATGATAATCAGAATGGTCTTTAAACTTTGCTTTCATAAGGATATAGAGAAAAGATTAGAAGAAAATCTACCACTATTAATTATTTCTAGATGGTAGGCAGGCCCCCCCCCCTTTTTTTTTTTACTGTTCTGCTACCAACTAAGTTTATTTAAATAAATTCCTCTACCTTTAAGGTCAGAAAAGCCCTTGAGCACACGTACTGAAGTATAACGCACCACCCGGACATTTCAGGTTCTCTACACCATATTTCTATTGTTTTCATCCATGTGCACAGCAAGCTTCCAGTGCTTCCTGAACAAGATGCATACCTTTTCGCCTCAGTGCCTTTGCTCAGACAGCCTGACCCACCTAGATCACCTTCTCTACCTGGCCAAGTTCCACCTGAGTTCATAAGAAACACCACCTGGGTTAGTCAGCTTTCTGTCACCACAACAAATAGCAGAGATCAAGAGAGTGAAGGTTTATTTTGGCTCAGAGTGTCAGAGGTTCAGGCTGTGATCAGTAAGCCTAGTTGCTTTTGAACCTGTGGTGAGGAAGGACATGAGGCAGGTAGCACGTAAGAGGCCCAAACTGATAACAACATGGTCAGGGAACAACAAGACAAGGAAGGAACCAAGGTTTCATAATCATGTTTAAAGGAACCATTCCCAAGAACTCTTACTAGATGGTCAGTCCTTCTTTTGTTTGGTTGGTTTCGGTTTTTCAACACAGGGTTTCTCTGTGTGGCCCCAGGTGTCTTGGAACTTACTTTATAGACCAGGATGGCCTTGAACTCACAGATTTCCGCCTGCCTCTGGCCTCTGGGAGGGATTAAAGGCCTGTGCCAGCATTGGCTGGGCTATAAATAGCTCTTCAAGATTCTGCAATTTCCCACTAGCACCATGATTTAGAACAAGCTTTTCTAAGGTTTGGGAGCTGCTCAGCTTTTCCACAACATTGCTTTGAACTCAGTACTAACCTGCTCACCAAGCTGCAGGTATCTTTGTCTTCTCAGGCTTCTTTGAGAAAAGGTCTCAGAAGTTTAGGGCGGAGGGCAAATCTCTAGGTAGTCAAGGCTAACCTTTCTCAATTCCCAATCCTGCTTTCAGTTCCCACTTCCTGGAATTACAGGTGAATACTCTGTGCTGGAGGGACTCATTTGGTCCTTAGTCCTTGGGATCCAGCTCACCTTGTCGAGTGGTTTATTCTGTCCTAAGGCCACCACTAGAGTGCACACATTAGGAAAATGGCTCTATCATTCATTAATACTGACAGCCTGGTTTACAGAATTAAACAGATAATGAGTACTTTCAGAGCTGAATACATTATTGTCACAAAGAGAAAGAAGAAAAAAACAGGAAATGTTTCTTATTTGAGACTCAGCATGGAACTTCTCACAGTAACAATGACTGAGAAAAGTACCATAATTACGGACCCGTATTTTCCTCTTTTTGCCTGTTCAAGATCTTCCCCATATTTGGTAATATTTTCTACAGGCAAAAAAAAATTGAGCTTGGAATTCCCAAGAACCTGTTTTCATATGAATGTCTAAAGAGAGATACTAGTGGATAATACTTTTCTTTAGGAAAAACATCATTATGGCTTGTATGCCTTAAACCTTTTATGAAGCAAAATATTGTTAATGACAATAGAAACTGAAAAACAAAAGTGGATGTTCTAAACAGAAAGTTAGGTTTTCTTTTTATTTTATCTCTTTCTACACACATACACACACACATACACACACACACACATTTTTATTTTTTCAAGACAGGGTTTCTTTGTATATCCTTCGCTGTCCTAGAACTAACTCTGTAGACCAGGCTGGCCTCGAACTCACAGAGATCTACCTGCTTCTGCCTCCTGAGTGCTGCGATAAAGGCCTGCACTACCACCACCCGGCTACTATTTATAGTTTTTAATGATGGGATTTCACTTTTGTTCATACTCACCTGGAACTCAAATGTCCTCCTGCGGTTCTAGGATTACATGCACTAAGAAGCACGTCATCTTTACCAAGGTGAATTTGTAGATAGTAACCTTATAAGGGAGAATCCACATGAACTAAAAAATAAAAAAGCCTTCACAGTACACCCGCAACTTTCCAGTGAGAAAGTCTTTCATGGTTTCTACTTGCCTTGCCGATAGAGTCTAGTTTACAACTCTGGTGTAGATAACTCACAGACCAGTTCACCTATACCTAAGGGTGTGTATTAAGTGTAAAAAGCCACCCCATGCCAAACACTATCTTTCTCTGAAAGAAAAAAAAAACAGTTTGTCTTTCTGACATACATTGTGAAGGCTACTCTTTGCCAGACTGTTGGTAGCAAAGGGGAGCTGCTTAGGTCAGTTGACATGGAATGGCAGTTCTTCCAATGATCTTCTGATGCATATCTTAAAGGAGTGCCATAGTCATTCAATGATTATGTACTGAACACTGCAAGGTACTGAGGGGTGAGAAAAATACATAAAGCATCTGCCTTCAACTTCCATAGGCTGCTACTAGTAACTATTCCCGAACCTGTCATCTACAGGCGGAAAGGAACAATAAACAAACAGGACAATTACAGGCTAGGAGGGAAAGTATGCAGGACAGGAAGCTACTTAATAACCAGTGAAGGCCTCTCAGATACATTGAAACCCTGAAAAGACAAAAACAAAACAAAACAAAAAGGCCCAACCAGACACAGTAACTGGCGAAGAGCAACCCAGGCCCTGAGGAATGGAAAGGTCCCAAGATGCAGACAGATGCACTCTGTTTGAAGAACACAAGCGAGGCAGTGTAGATATATTTATCGAACTGGGGATCATGTTTTGGAGTGTGATGTCAATTTTGTGGGTCGCTGCATTTTATAAAAGAAAGTCAAATAGAAAATCCACCAGCCACATGTTTCTAGACTATTTTTTAATGAACTTTTGCTTCGTGTGTGTGTGTGTGTGTGTGTGTGTGTGTATTGGCTTGCTATTTGTGTGTTTCTTAATGCAGGGGGTGGTCAAATCTGCACTAAGCAAGGACAGTAATAACAGGTGAGGATGGACAGGTAGCCAAGAGCTAGGCAATATATGGCTTTGCATTTGTAGGCCACCGGGAAGAACTGGAACTTTATTCTAAATACACACAGTGGGAAGGCACTGAAAGGTTTCAGGCTGGGGAGGGACAGGACTTAATCCGACATTGCGACGTTGCTGAAAGATTACTAAAGCGAAATCCAAAAGGCCAGGCCAAAACTCTTAACACTGAGGATTCTGAGAAAATTGCTTAATCTTACTACACTCCGCTTCCCTCATTTAAAAAAAAAAATGAGAAGACTGAATCAAGATGACCTTTAAGACCTTGGAGATTACATAACATAGTTATCTTCTGCTTGAACCCTTGAGCATAAGTAAATGACTATTATAGAATCACCAATTCTTTAGTTATGAGTTACATCTTAGTATACTCTAACCCATGTAGCTGTGAATTACATTCATATAGAGCACTATTTTACAACGATGGCCTTACTGTAACCAGCTATGATATCAGGCACGAGTGAGATCTCGGTGGTAAAAGCGAGTGGAGTGCTTTTGCAACTCTCTGGTACAAAGTTTGGTGCGTGAAGAAAACTGGCCATGAGGTATGAAAAGGTTTACTGACAGGACTATTTGGAACAGATTTCCTTACATTTGTTCTAGGTCATCAACTGATGTACAATACAGAACAGTATAGAAGTATAGGAATCTTCTGGTAAGCACTAAAGTCATAAGTTTAATTCCTTTCGCAGTAACCAAAGGACTGAGGCAAAATCTATATTGACAACCGACTAGTTTTTACTTCCATACTTGACAAACTAAAACATGCTTCTTTACTTACTCCTCTAACCTTATTTACATTTCACAGATATGGCAGCAGGAACTCAGAGCATGTAAATAAGCTATTTAGTGGAAGGGTCCAGAGTAGCATCAATCAAGGCAGATGGCAACTTGAGCTTTTAAATTCCATATTTATAACTATTGTAAATATTTAAAAAATACTGATCAGATGTACTTGACAACTCAAGTATCTATGACATTGAGACAGTGAATGTTCAACCAATAAATCAACTCTGACTTACAGAAACTTTCAAATACAGAGCGTGATAGATACTTGTGAATAGCACTTTTGGTTTTAAGAAGCGGAATTAAGCAAAATAAAGGGAACTGGATTACCAAATTATGTCCAAAGCGTATAGCAAAAGTACAATGACAGTTTCCAGTTTATTTTCTGGTGAAAGGCCAAGACAAGAACCGTGAACTGCAGTATGCCATTTACCAAATAGCCCGCCAGGGCCATGAACACAAGATGCTAAACATTCTGGTTTCTAACTTACATTAACCTTTTAAAGGAAGAAGCGAGCACACCATCTGCCCGTCTGAAGCAGAGCACACAGCATGGCAAAACCCTTGAAACACGGACAGCATCTTTCCAGGGAAGGTTGAAAAGGTCTCTAACATCTGCCAGCAAAAACACCCGAACATCCTAGCAAAAGTTAGATATGTTCGCTGCACACCCCATTTCAAGCCCTAGAACGCATGCTCACCTGTCACATACTCAGTTTCGAATCTTCGCCGGGTCTCAGAGATTAGCTTGGCTTTATTCTGAGCGTTATTCTGCATGGGAGACACAACAGAACCTTAGATGCTTATGATCTTTACTCAGCTCACTCTCAACACAGCGCACCTACACCGGAGCGCACGGACCCTGGACCAGGAAGACGGCTTCCCGGTCCGGTGACCCAGCAGTGGTGCGGTGCTGCTCACCTCGGCCATGGTCACAGTCGCGGACTTGATTGTAGCTGTAGCCGTCGCCTGTTCCACAGCCCGCAACCAAGTATCTCATCACCAGCCAACCCAGCCCAAAGGTAGACTAAGAAGGGAGGGAGGAGGAGGAGGAGGCGGTCGCGTGACACCGGAAGGTAGAAGGAAGTGCCTTCATACTGTCCAATCCCCTACTGTCGTCCGGGGGTAGAGGCGGGAAGAAGTGCTCTGCTAGGCTCCCACTTGTTTCTATAAGCAGAAACTCCGCCCTCCGCCATCCTCCAGGCACAGCTGTCCTGCCCCCAGCAGCCTGGAGCACTCAGACGCTGTCCCTGAAGCACAGCCCCTGGCAGAGAAGCTGGTTATTCGCTTCCACCACTCGGAGGCTCCACCCGCTCCGGTCTCCCCTGGCAACCGTCTCCATCAGGCTCAGCCTTCTAATTTTTTTTCACTCAGCTATTGGGCCGGCTGTCCCAGCGTGCAATGCGCGAGCGGGAGGTTTGGAGTAATAGGTGCTTCTGGAACATGGCGATTTGGCTGCCTTGGAGAACTATTTCTGTCTCCTGACCCGTCGAGGATGGTTTGGATTGTGAGTGTTCTCTATATCCGGCGATGAGTTCTGTTAAGAGTTTTTGTTGTAGTGTCTTGCATTATAGTGCTGACAGGCCTGGCTGGAACTTGGTCTGTAGCCCAGGTTGGCCTCAACTCTCACACAGGCTCCTGTTTCTGTTTCTCAGATCGAGACTGCAAGTGTTACACCACCACTCTTGGTTGTGGAGTGAGACGCTTGCAAGGAAAATGTCTTTCAACTCTCGAGTTGAAGTGGTTATAAAAAGTTAAAAGGAAAGGTTGCTTGTTGCTAACGAGGTGGGGGTAGGGCTCGTTTCTGCCATATAAGTGACATTTGTGGTTGTCACAGGTTGGGGAAGGGAGTGCATCTGATTTTGAATGGCTAAAAGCCTGGGATGCTGCCAGGCTTGTGGGACAAGTCACAGTCCTTACCAGGGCAAAATGCAAACCTTGCCAAGGCTGGTAAAACTTAGATTTATAAAGCACTGGAACAAACCTTAGTGTGGTGGTTTAGTTGAACATAATGCTGCCTTTCTTAAAAATTGACAGATACTAAAGTCTACTTGTAGAAATTGCAAATCCAGCAGCCCTTCCCCTCCACCAAAATAGAAAACCCGAGTGTTTCCTCATAAATCACTCATCTGTAGCTGGTTCACCATAATAAGGCATGTAGCATCTTTCCCACAGTGTTTCCAATGTTTATGCTTTTATTGCAAAAGTTGAACACATTGTCTAAAACTTGTTTGAAAATAATCATAAAATTACTTGAATAGATAAAATCTCCCCTAACCTCCATTCCCCTAGTTTGATACGCATATTCCTTATTAAAATTTAACCATCATGATATGCAATACATCCCTCTTAACTGTAGTGTGATGTTCCATCTGTTTATTTTCCTACTGGTAATCATTTGAATTTGTAATTTTTATATTTCAAATAGCAATGCAGTATATATTTTAGAGTAGTGGTATCCTGCTCTAAGTAGTTCTGTTTCTCTGGAATCAGCTCAGAAATGCAATTTCCAAAGATACACATTTCAATTTATTGCCAGGTTAATCTATCTTTCTTTCTTTCTTTCTTTCTTTCTTTTTTTTTTTTTTTTTTCAAGACAGGGTTTCTCTGGAGCTTTGGAGTCTGTCCTGGAACTAGCTCTTGTAGACCAGGCTGGCCTTGAACTCAAAGAGATCCACCTCTGCCTCCCAAGTGCTGGGATTAAAGGCGTGCGCCACCACCACCAGGCTAGGCCAAGTTAAATTCTATAGTCACTGCTCTCTTTCATAAATTGCTTATTAATTATCCCCCAATCATGAACTTTGTTCCCCATTCATATATTTCAGGACTGCCACTCAGATGCAGTAGTACCATTCTGTGATGTTTGTGTTTTTAATCCATTCCATGTGTTGTCATTATTTAAACGAGTGATTCTGTATGTACATAGCCACTGAAACAAGAGAGAACAACATTTTCCTATGTCTGTTGAATTTAGAGGCTGTTCCTTTAATTACGTTGCTTTTACTCCTTCTCTCACTCTGCTTTCCTATAAGCATTCCTGGCTGTCCTGGAACTCACTTTGTAGACCAGGCTGGCCTCGAACTCCCTCTGCCTCTCAAGTGCTGGGATTAAAGGCGTGCGCCACCACCTCCTAGCTGGCAGTTTTTTTCTTAATAGGGAAATGCTTACCAGGGCAGTATGATTAACCGCGTTGGCTAAAGAGACAAGGTGATTCTTTTCGAAAGCTGGCAGCATTGCCGATGAGTATTGTAAGCATGGATCCATGCTGCAACCTTGGGACCGTTTACCTTCATTAGAGTAAGGGGTCTGAATTTACAGAAAGGAAGGAGGAGAATGGTTATTTTGAGAGTGTAGTTGTAAACCTGAAGTGACGAGTGCTGTGTTGAAACAGATAATAAGCACAAGTCATTGCCCACAGTTACTTAATTCTTCTCTTCATTATAGTTAGCTGTCTTCGCCCTCAGTTTTCCTCTATTTTGAATAGCAATAGTTTCCTCCAGTCATAAGGATGTATTGTAAAGTAAGAGGTATTTCTTTTGTTTGTTTGTTTGTTTTCTATAGTGATTTGGAAGCTTTGTTTTTCAGAGTTTTCTTTCATCATGCATCCTGTACAAACGTTGGCCTTAGGAAACAGGGGCCAAGTGTCTTGGCTATGGGGAGCAAACTAATTCAGCCATCAACCTTTTTAGGGAAGTCTGAGTTTCAAGACAAGTAAAGCATTGATTAACCGAATCTCATTCCAAAGATATTAAGATAAACCCAGATTAGATTTAGTAGATTTGTAACAGAGGGAAGTAGAAAATTCGCTGAGCCAGAATTTTTTTTTTTTTTTTTTTAGTGCTCTCAGAGTTTCTCTGGCCTATGCTAGCCTTCTCCCGTTTTTATCTCCAGAGTAAATTAGAGGTATAGTCTACCACATCTAGCCTCCAGACACCTTTAAATTAAATTTGGGGTGCGGTTTTGTGTGTGTGGCCGGCCGTGGCGCACATAGGAATGTCAGAGGACAGTTTTCTGGAGTTGCTTCTTGCCTTCTTACTCTGTCGGGACAGTCTAGTTTCTGCTGATGTTTTCCACGTTCCAGGTTTAGATGTCCTGTGGGCTTGCCGGAGGTTCTCTGGTCTCTGGGTCCCATCTCACCAATGGAATGCTGGGATTGCAAGGCACACCCCTGCAGCAGGCTGCTGTTTTTTTTTCCTGAAGTCTGCCTCTTCTGCTTGTGCAGTCCTGTGCAGTTAGCACCTTTACTCGCCTGATAAAAGGGACTTTTAATAGAACTTCTAAATAAAGCTTGCCGCGCTCAGAGCACATTCAGGTCTCTTTTCTGAATTAGTGAGTCACAGTCTTGCATTGTGTAAGTATGGCCTTGTCACCAGGTGTGTAATGCATACCTGTAATTCCAGCACTCCAGAGGCTGAGGCAAAGGGTTAGGAGGTCAAGGGCAGCAAAGGTCTATTATTCAGCAAGGCCGTCTCTTCATAAAATGGTGTCACAATTGTATAAGAAGTTTTTTGATCTGTTTACTTAAAATGAAATATATGGTTACCTGGGTGATAATTTTCTAACAAAATATGCTTTCTACTCTGCCTACTCCATTCAGTCTTCCTTCTTTGTTTTCCCCTTAGGATTAACGGCCTCAATTGGAATCCCCTTGCATTTGGACCGGGGTCAACACAGAGACTGGATGTGTATTAGGATGGCTAGCAACCAAGAAATGCCATTTAAGGAGCAAGCAAAATTCTTGTCTTATAATGGAGAAGTCCTTGTTTTTCATTTGTCCAAAGCCTATTTTGAAGATTGTGAAATGCCTACAGACACGTCTGCATTATATGTCAAAAGGATGCTATTTGACAGAGAAAAAGGAGCCTTTGTTCTGATCTCCACGGGTTTTTTAAGGATTAAGGAGAAAGCTTCACATTTAAAAATTCTGTCTTGTAAATGTGTGTCAGATTTCAAAACTGGAATTAACCTCCCTTGCATTTTGATACAATATCAGAAATATAATAGTAGAGACTTCACCTATTGTATACTGTTTCTTCACAATCTGAATAAATTTGAACGACATTTGAGCTTCACACTCGATCATGCGCTGGACGAGAGCTTAAAGATCTTTGACGGTCCTATAATTTTTTGGCAATATCTCAACAAATTCTTCTATATCTCTTCCCAAACTGGAGAGGTTACCAACATATCAGCTACTCTTTCTTCCGTTGAGTGGGTAGGTGAGATCGAAAATTTTGGTGTAGGATTTTTGGGGCTGGCAGAACCACCTGCCGCTGGTACCCATAAGTTTTCAGAATCAGATTGTGAATTTTCTGATTCCAACCTTTGTGCATATGACCTTAAAACTCAAGAAAAATTAAGCACTAGTTACCTGATCCCTCTTGCTTATAGTAGTATTATAACTCACGTGCACGTCCGTGCTGCTGAAATGGTCGACCATCAGCTACGAATGGCTCTGATTGCCCTGACGCAAAAGAACCAGCTCATTTTGTTCCACAATGGCATTCCTGTACGAGTATGCCAGCTTCCCTTTGTAGATCCTTGTTCCGTTCAGATCCTCGATTCAGGCAAAAGAAACCGATTTTTCATCGTGTCATTCAACTCCAAGGCTTGTGCTGTTTCGGAAAAGAAATTTAAGGTACAGTGCTTGATCTTAATCTTAACAATAATTCAGCGGGTCGTCTTGGGCTTTTCTTTTCCTGTGTTTGCTGTGTTGGGTTTTTTTGAAACAGGGCTGGGTCTTAATAGCTAGTACAGACAGCTGGAGAGTTGTCTACTTTCAGGAGTCCTAGATTACAGCCTTGTGCTTCCATCATGTCCAACTCTTCGTAGACTTTCTAAGCATTCCAGTTTTTCGTAAGTCAGTTTTTAGCATTAGGCTTTGTAGATGTTTTATTGCTTTTCTGGTTTCGTTTTTGTTTTTTGTTCTTGAAATTGTCTGAATTCTACTTGATAATGATTTGGGGCCTTGGTGTTTGAAGTCATAAAGCCTTTGAGTTTGGAAGCATAAATATATAACTAATTATATTTATCTGTCATTTATTCTATGTGTCATTTTTATCAATGTGATCATACTGCAATACCTAAGTTAGAAGAAGTACAGTTATTATACCTGAACAATTATACTTAGTAGTTAAGACAAAACAATAAACGTGGTAGGATTTAAAATGGAATGAAACATTTTCTAATATTCAATACCAAGCCTTTACTATTGATGACCTACCATGAAAGGTTTTAGATAATAGAATTAATATTTTATTAAATAATAAAATCATTTCTTTAATAGTCGGGGTTTTTTTTTTTTCAAGACAGGGTTTCTCTTGTATAACAGCTCTGGCTGTCCTGGAACTCCCTTTGTAGACCAGGCTGGTCTCAAACTCAAAGAGATTCACTTGCCTCTGCCTACAGAGTGCTGGGGTTAAAGGTGTGTGCCCTGGCTATCTGGCAAAGATTGGTTTTTCTTCCTTCCTTCCTTCCTTCCTTCCTTCCTTCCTTCCTTCCTTCCTTCCTTCCTTCCTTCCTTTCTTCCTTCCCCTCTCCCTCCCTCCCTCCCTCCCTCCCTCCCTCCCTCCGTTCCTTCCTCCTCCCTCTCTCCCTCCTTCCTGCCTGCTTGCCTTCCGTCCTTCCTTCCTTTTTTCTTCCTTTCTTTCTTTTTTGTTTTTCAAGACAAGTTTTCTCTGTGTAGCCTTAGCTATTCTGGAATTTACTCTATAGACCATGTTGGCCTCAAACTAACAGATCCACCTGCCTCTGCCTCCTGAGTGCTGGGATTAAAGGCGTGTGCCACCACCACCTGGCTAATAACAGTTTTGTCCCTATATAGAAAGTAGCATATCTTTGTGGAAGGTATGAATCTGTTTATTCTGCTTCATTTCAAGAAGGAATTGAGGTAGATTACAAAAATACATACAAGCATAGATTTAAGTAAATAAAGAAAATCTCATCATGCTCCCAGACTAGCCCTTCATAAAAGCCTTAGAGATATTTAGTTCAGTGACAGGACTACATTTTCTCTTAGGCTTTCTCTCAAGTGGAAATTGTCTCTGCACGTTTTGACAAGAATCTATTTAGTGACCATTTCAAATTTGAAGCCATTGTCAGGTAGGCACAGATATTTGTGTTTTCAATAGAGGAGATTCATATGTTCTGTAATTGTACTATTAAATATAGCTAATAGCCTTGAAGTTACGGAGTATTTGAAATATGAGTGGTCTGAATTAAAATATATTAAAAATGCCAAGTCCACCTGAGATTTCAGACTTCGTAAAGAGCTAGGTATGGTGCCATAGTGTAATGCCAACAGTGGAGAGATCAAGGCAAACTAGTAAGAGCCTGTCTTTGAAAAAAATATTTTAATAAAGATTCAGTAAAACATTTTGATTCTTAGTTGATTATATTGAATTGTAGTGGCAATGTTCTGAACAAACTGTGTTAAATAGTTAGCCCTCCATATCTGAGTGTTCTGCAAACACTGATTGTGCCAACTGCAATTTAAAATATTTGACAAAAACTAGGGTTTGTATTGAACATGTATAACCTTTTTCCTTGTCTTTATGCCCTAACAAGTACAGTATAGCCACTGTAATATTGTATTTGACATTATTAATAACCTAGAGATGTTTTAAAGCGTATGGCAGGATATGGGTAAATTTATTATTATTATTATTATTATTGTCATTCTTGTTTTTGTTGTTTTTGGTTTTTCAAGACAGTATTTCTCTATGTAACAGTCCTGAATGTCCTGGAATTCACTATATAGACCAAGCTGGCCTTGAACTCAGAAATCCTCCTGCCTCTGCCTTCCTAGTACTAGGATTAAAGGCATGCACCATTATGCTTAGCTGAATATTATATACAAATTATAAACCAATAAGCATCTACACAGTCTTGAATCTACAGAGGGTCTAGGAGCTACTCTTCCACTTACATTGAGAAATGACTATTACATTTTTACTGATAGTTTAAAATTATGTGTGTGCTTCCCATTTTTGGTTCACTTGTATTTGTGTTAAATAGTACTTTTTGACAGATATTCTTTACAAACAGGCATGCACATTTCTGCATAGTTCTTTGATGTTTCCATGTCCTAGGAATGTCGGAAGCTTCACCCACACAAATCTCACCAACACGTCTGCCTAAACATGAGCTGAATATGTTAACCAAATTTTGATTGCCAGTTTCTCATTTCTGTAGTTCATGATGCCCCATAATTGTATGGGGACATATGGGTTTTCAGATATGCTGTTTCCCTGTCCAAGTGAAGAACCACATTTGGGAATTAATCCTGTAGAGCCAGGATTGGTATTTCATTATGTAGATTGAAGTGCCTTACTTACATTCTTTCTGAAGTATAAGTCACATTCCTGGGTCCTCTAGAAACCGTGGATTCTGGGTAGGAAGTGTAGCTCTTCTGCCTTAGGTGATCTGATACACGCAATGTTAAAGCCTTTAGCTCTTTGGACCTTTAAGGCATCTATTTTAAACTCCCCATCTCCTATTCTATTATAAACTTAACAAATCATTCTATTTAAGTAAAATGCTTCTAGGTGTCCTGCTGTTACGGATCCATTCGTTTCCTTTTTTGTCCCTGATAATAATAATGCCTGTGCCACTGCTACTGGGGTTAAGCTGTTAAGTTCATCTTGAGCTTATTCTACTTTGAGAATTCTTCAAAATGTACTGGTACCTTTCAGTTATCCAGTGCTACTGAATTCCTTGGGGAATTGCTCTGATTGGAAACAGCATGTCCACTGAGGCTTATTGGAAATAGGGTCATCCTTAAATTATCCATACTAGATGTTAGGCCTCCCAAAGTCTTAGTTATGAGAAGTATTTGAATTTGTATATAGATCATACGATTTGAATACAGAAATCAGAACCGTGATCTTCTCTAGATAAGCATTAATAAAATATGACATAAATATCTTGCTATTTACAGAGTTGTCCTAGTTCCTTATGGTTTTGGATCCTGTAGTAGCTTTTTCTTTAGCTTTTGTATTACGACTTTCATCAGTCTTTTGTAAGAATGAGGTTAACATTATAAATGCATGGAACAAAGAGACTTACTAACTAGTTGGTTCCTATTTTTCCTTTCTGCATCCCTCCTGTAATGTTCTTATTCTTTCAGGTTGTTGCTAAGTGGGAACAACTTAGCTTAATCTTGATAAATGACTTTGTTGGAGTTGGAACTGATCAACTACTGGTCATTTTTGATGCCGTTCTGAACACAGATCAGCTGACTTCATTTGCTATAACAGATTTTGTCAGAATAAACTTTTCAGTAAGTTCTGTTTATATAGTGTAATTTAAGAGCCATTTTACTACTTAAAAGTTTGATCCTCTATCTAAATAAATAGTTTCTATCTTTATCTAAATCCTCTATCTAAATGATTTCATACTTTAACTTTAAAAGTATATAGACTCAGTCCTTTAAATGTGTACATTGTCCTTTTCAACAAACGCTGTATAAGTTGACCATCCTTTTCTTATAAACTTGTATTGTGATATATCTAAGGGTCACTCAAATGATGGGAATGCCGTAAGTCAACTTTATTGTTGCTTCTGAAATTTCATTTTGTATCACTAAATAATATTGCATTAATTAAGGAATAAAAGGAAGAATAACTACTTCTCAAAAGAGGAAATAAGTGACCATGAAATGCCTCAGTGGTAAGGGTACTTTGTTGCCCAGCCTGATGACCTGAGTTGTATGCCTAGAACCTACATGGCAGAAGGAGGAAGCTGACTTCCACAGGTTGTACTTTGAGCTCCACATACATGCGAGGATACATGCTGTTGAACACATCCAACCCCAGAAAGCATTAATGTAAATGTTTTGAAATACAAAAAAGATTTAAAGTGGTCTTGGAAGTCTTTATCATAAGAGAAAGGATTTTCCCCGAAGTTTCAGATCTAAGTAGAATCAGAATCTCCCCAATTTTTTTCTTTTGTAAAATTAAGATGATTGTTGTTTGCCCTAGGGTTTTATTGAGAATAGTGATACAGCCTACTAATTTGTGATACTGTATACAAATTTTAGGACCCACAGTGATACTCACCTAATTTCCAGATGGTGAAAATACATTTTTTAATGTAGTACTGCACTTTGGACACATAGTGACTGTATTTTTTAATCCTCTGAATTTTCAATTTATTTTAGAATTTTTTTCTTGTTCTTTCCTGTTATTAGACTGAACCACTGGATTATTGCATTGAAGACCCTTTTGCTGAAGAGGAACATGAAAATTATTATTTGGTGCTTCCGGCACTGGAAGCACAATTGGAAGTTAGTGTCTCTGTCTGCTGTCTCCTTCTGCTTTTTGATTAACGAATTCTAACTGAAGTAAATAACGTAGAGGGGTGTTTACAGTATTCAGCAACTCAGTGTTTAGAAGAAAGGGGTATTTCAGAGAGCTCTAGATTTTGGGCACTGCTGGAAAAACTATTAATATTATGAAGGTGAGTGTGGTATTACAGGCCTGTGCTTTTAGCATTTGAGATGGTGAAGCAGGCTAATTGTTAGTTTGAGTCCAGTTTGGCTATACACAGTTCCAGGACAGCTTAGGCAACACAGCAAGAACTGTCTCAAAATTACTAACTCGAACTCTTGTGAGGCTACATGTAAGTATATTGTCTGGAAATGACAACTTTCAGTAGTAGGATTTGGTAAGCTTAACAAGCTATATGAATGAAATTGGCAGAAGCTCAGTTTTAAAAGGAGCCTGACCTATAGAATCAGCATGCCACAGCATCTCTCTTAGAATGGCAGTGACTATAAAAGGCTATAGCACATTAACAGACATGCAACAGTCTACTCTCAGTGTTTCACTAATAAACTCTACAAAAGCTAGGCATGGTAGCACATGGCTGTTACCCCAGCACTTAAGGGGAACAAGAGTTTAAGGTCAATACATACCACATTCCAAACCAGCATAGAAGAGACTCTCTCAATAATTCCTGTAAGAGAACTATTAGTTTTGGCTAAATATACCAGCTTTATTGCAATGCATTAGTTTTCATCACTGACAGAGTTCCTAATAGAGCATCTAAGCACTGGTTCTCAGTCTGTGGGATGCGACCCCTTGGGGTAGTTGAATGACCCTTTCACGAGGGCTGCTTATCAGTTACCCTGTATAGCAGATATATTATACTATGACTCAAAACAGTAGCAAAATTACAGTTATGAAGTAACACCTAAATAATTTTGTGGTTGGGGGTCACTACAACGTGAGGAACTGTATTAAAGGGTCACAGCTTTAGGAAAGTTGAGAACCACTGCCCTACGGGAAGGATGTCTTTTGGATCCCAGGTTCAGATAGTTCCATTCTTGGCTAGCCAGCTGCAGTTGTTGCTCAGGGCTTGCGATGAGGCGGCAAATTGTGACAGCAGGCGTGTGGTGGAGCACAGCTGTGCATCACATGGTAGCCACGAGGCGTCTCATGGTAGCTTGAAAGCAGAGAGAGGATGCTTGTGTTAGTGCGCTTCTTCCTTCCCCTTTTAACATCATACCCTTAGCCTGCGGGGTGATGGCTCCTGTCCCCCTTAGTTTATTATTTTGGGAAATACCCTCACAAATCCTGTGCTCATTAGTTTTTTTTTTTTTTTTAAATCAACTTGACAGAAGCCAGAGTCATCTGGGAAGAGGAAAGTCTTTTGGAGATGAACTATTCCTCCCCCGCTTGTCATTTTGTACATGATGAGATGCGTAGACCCAGAAAGATTAAGTGCCTTAGAGTTCAAACTAGAGTCCATTGCACCAACATAGGTATCAGCAGGGGAATGTGGAAGACTCATACCTTGAAGAAAGTTATAAGCATGTAGCAAGACGTTGACATAACACACGTGCTCATCAACAGGAGTGCATTGGGGTCATGTGATGGAGGACTGTAGGTCACTGAAAAGGAAAGATCTACAGCTGTTAGGGGCAACATAACCAACTTTAAAATCTGATGTGCACAGAGTGATTCAATTTAAGAAATACGCAGAAAACATACAAGACTGAAAACATCCCTTACGGACATGTAGAAAAGATGGTAAACACAGAAGAAAAGCAAGGAAGGTGTGGTAAGACCAGGTAGTCTTGCCTTCTGGCTAGAAAAAGATATTTGTGATTATTTAGGTCTCCTAGGCAGCTTCCAGAGTGCTTCCATTACTCGGATATACTTTTGTGGGTGTTGACATCATTTTTAGTCTTCAAACTTTTCCAAATTTTGGCATTTGGGACATGTATTATTATATTAATATTACTATGAATATTAAAGCAAGGCTCAGTGTCAAGCAGGGTAGTTTGTCCCTAAATTGGGTTTTTGTTCTGGTTTCTGGTTGTAAGGAAATGAAAGAAAATAGTCCTTAACATATACGGGAAAATTCTGGAAGGTAAGCCATCTGTCTATTGGTTGCAGGATTATGTGTATAGGAAAAAGAGGGGAATACTTTCCTGTCTAAATTTCTTGCAGTGAGCTTGGTTTAGTTTTTGGTTTAATAACAAAACTTCACAATATTTTAAACTAGAGATTTGCTAGTTTTTCCTGGAGCACAGAGGACATGATGAGAGAAAGAACCGGGAGAGGCCAGTGCTAATTTCAGAGAGTTCATTGTCAGTCAGCCCACCTTGAATGTGTACATCTACTCGTATCCAAATTACAAGCTACCAAGTCCATGAGCAATGGAATATGAGCACTATGAAGCCAATAGAACGAGGCCAACATGAGATGTTTCAAAATCGTAGCTACTCTTTACGCCCTTTTTATAATGAGGTAAGAGAAATAATTCAGTCTCCCTGCTCCAACTTCTAGTCATTGATTAAGAAAAAAAGTTCTGCTCAAAAGAATGGAGCACAAAAGATTTTTAAATATGGAAAGACATTTTATTTGAAGCTAGATTAATATTTAAACAGCCTCACATGTCTGTCTAAAATAAAACAACTTCAGTCAATTCAACAAGACTATTTACACTTTTAGTAGCAAAATATATTCTACGATTTTTTCATCCTTGGAACTGAAATCTAATTATCTTGCACAATAAAAGAAATGTATGCTCTATTCCCTGCTCTGAGCCAAAGTTAGTTTCTTCAATAGTTTTCGTTTGATTTTTTTTTTTTTTAGAGTTTACTAGGAAAAAAAAAAAAACCACCATAAAACAGATTGTGGCCATTGTTAGGTGGGAGAACTCAGTTTTATTCAAAGCGATACATATTATTTAACTCAGCGTTGAAATGGATACTATTGTATCAGTATGTTCAGTTTAGTGCATAGACTCCACAGCAGTTACTTCCCTGTCTTCCTATGAGCACAAAGCACTTCGTTTGTAAGAGAAACAGAATCTAAAAACAAAAGAGTTTCTCTTTGAAAGTGATTTCTGCCGAGCTTATCTGCAGAAAGTACTTCCTGAATTAATGACATGTCCAGTTTCATTTGGAACTGCCTCTGGTAACTTTTTTCTTTCTATTTTACAGGCTTCATTTGTTTATCTTAACAAATTACAGAAGCATATCTCATTTAAAGATAAATTTATTGCAAACTCTTGGAAGATTCTTTTAAACTCAATTTATGGGAACATTGATATTTCGTCAAACGATGAGGAGGTAAAGTTAATCCTGTGACTACTTTATCATTTAATCAGTTGATAACGTGCAATGTGTTGAAGAGTTGTTCAAATTAGAGTATAGTAGAAAATATCGCTTACTGGATTGCAGTCAGGGTAATGGTAGATTTTCATAATATTGAAAAACATTTGCTTAAAGAGCCAATATCAGTCTGTTTCAACCCAGATCTGCCACTTTGTAGCTGTGTGATATCTGGCAAGTTACTTTGCCTCTCTGTAACTCAGAGTTTGTCTTATCTATAAATTGTAGAGAACAATACAACAAACAAAGGATGCTATGGTTATTGTGAGGATTGGTGTACAAATGGCATTTAGACATAAAAATAAAGATTCGATAAGTAACACAGTTATTTCCCCTAACTCTGTGGTTTCTATTGTTATTATAGTCCTGTGTTTATGGTAATGACATGAGAATGGGCTACACAGTAACATAAAATTTCAGCAGAATTCTATAAACTACCCATAAATGATAATTTAATCAGTTTTATTAATGCAGACTTTTAGATTTAAGCTCAGTGCAAGTTCCACATTGATTGTTTTCACTATACTTGTGGAGTATATTATCAAACATTATTAAAATCTGTTTTTTTGTACCCACTGGCTCTATATCAGATAGCTCATCTTCCAGTTAGGATTCTTGACCTGAGTATATAGTTATGTTTCATGAATTTTTATTTTAGTAAGTTATATGTAATCTATAACTTTTTATTGTATTATTTTATTATAATACTGTATTATAATTTATTTTAAAAATGCTTCTGTAGTGTTTTGACAGCCTTTTGACATCAGCATTATATAATCATCTACAAATGTGTTGGGCTGCATTCATAGCCATCTTGGGAAGCATGTGGTCTATTGGTCTTGGGCTGTGCACATTTCTTCATGTCATAAGGCCACAAAGCTAATCTCCCTTATTATTTTTGATTCATTCAGTGCATTTTTTTGTAGTCACCTATCTTAACACTTTTTTCATTAAGGACGAGCTTGTTCCATTCTGTGATGAAGATGAAAGCAGTATCCATACCCCTGAGGAAAAGGTATCAGAGAATTTTCAAGAGCCAGAACATATTGTAAAGCAGACATGGTGTCGTGAGAATTTTCAAGAGCCAGAACATATTGTAAAGCAGACATGGTGTCGTGTACTAGACGATGACTTAGTAATTGGACTGAAAGTCACATCTTTGAACCCGTAAGTAAATTTTATGTAATAATTCTGTATTAATACTGCATACCAACACTGTCTAATAGAAATTAATGAAATGCACATGTAATTTTAATTGTTCTAGTAGCCATATTAAAAATTGAAATAAAAGCAAGTAAAATTAATTTCAATATTTTATTGGGTATCCTCCATCCAAAGTTTCATTTCAGTATATAATGAATCAATGAGATATTCGTTTTCATACTGAGCTTTTGAAAGTTGTTGTTATTGGAGGCTGCTTGTTTGTTTCCCAGCTGCCCAGACTCCTGAAATAATCACACAGAAACTATATTATTTGCAATACTGTTTGGCCAATAGCTTAAGCATATTGCTAGCTAGCTCTTATATCTAGTATTAATCCATTTCCATTATTTTATATTTTACCATAAGGCTCATGGCCTACTGGCAAGTTTCCAGCTGGCAGCTCACATCTTTCCCCTCTTATGGCTACATGGTGTCTCCTTGTCTTTGCCTTGTTTTTCTCAGCATTCAGTTTAGTTTAACACACCCAGCTCTATTCTGTCCTATCACATGCCAAAGCTGTTTCTTTATTCATTAACTAATAAAAGCAACACATACACAGAAGAACTTTCCACATCATCTCGCCTTTTCTGTCTAAATAAAAAGGAAGGTTTTAACTTTAATATAGTAAAATTACATCTAACAAAATAGATATTAAGCAAGAATTATAGTTAAGATATTTATGTCTACCTTATCTTTTATCATAACTAAGGAAAACTATAATGATAACAATTTATTCTTCAACTCCATCAAAGATACCAGAAGGATATAATATTACCTAAGTAAACAGGAAGTGCATTGTAGGCAACTTCCCAAACTCTAGAATTGACAGAGACATCTTGCTGCCTGGATAGTTACCCAAAGTTCTTCTGTACCATTGGGGCATCCATCTTCAGCCTACAGGCACATAGTATCCAGCAGATTTTTCCACGAAGCAGGAAATGTCAACGATAGCTTCACCTATATTGGCAGTTTGTTGGTCACTTTCTTTTGTGTCCTGCAGAATGTCTGGCAGATTCTTTCATAAAGCAGGAACCCTAAAGGACCATCTTACCTTTAGGCAAGTTCAGCAGTCATTTCTCCGTGTGACCTGCATGTTCAGTTCATACACCATAACATCAAGCATTCCAGGCAAGAGCACTTTCTTGCCTAAATGGCTAGCAAACTACATAAGGAGTCTTTTTGATGCCATTTATCCTCTTGAAGCAGATTGGTGCTGCCAGGATGTGTCTCATTTTCATGAAAAGTCTTAAGATCTTAAAACATATTAAATGCCATATTCTGAAGGTCTCTGAAAGATTTGATGAATATCTATCTAACTGAAAATATATCTATACACCTAGAAAACCTAACTAGCATGACTACAAGCTTGACTATTATAGATGATTATATATTAACCTATATTTCTTAATTATACATTACATTTTTAAATGAGCTCAACAAACACGATACCTTAATCAGGAACAGAAATATACATATAACAAAATTGACCTTAAATTTGTATCAGTAAACCAAGATCCATACCAATGCAAATCTCTATAGCATATCCCCCTTTAAATGTAAGCAAACATTTATAAATAATTATTTAGGGAATTTGGGAATAGTTTTTCCCAAACTTCTTTTTTGCTTTTTGTTGGTCGAAGTAATTTACTGGGGGTATTCACAGCAACCTTTCAGTGGGGCCTTGGTCCATTAAACCATATTAGTCTGGAAGGAGTCCATAGGTCCACATCTTCTGTGGAAACAAAAGAACTCTTTTTCCAAAGTAATATATCCTTAGACTCAAATTTTTAAGTCAAGATTTAAAAATATATATGTTGGTTTAGCTTAGCAACCCATACAAAAAATGTTTCTCTGCACTTAGCTCCTTCACATTCAAAAATTTAAAAAAAAAAACAATAATATCTTTTTGTAACTATACTCTTATTTTTTTCTCCTAAGCCTGCATACATTTATCCAACACTGTGACCCATTTAGAAGTCTTTTTTTCTGGATCTGTCTTTATTATGTATCTGTAATTATTTTTTGTCCAGGAATGCTTCTTAAAATGCAAAGTGACATTACTAGGACTAAGGTTGCTTTACCTTTTGGCTCTGCCCAGTCGAACATGTTGGAGGTCCATTCATTGCCTCTGAGAGCCATTCTCTCCACCTCAGATCCAGGGTCAGGTCGCATCAGGTCTGGGTTGCTATTAAGCAAGTTGTAGGCCTCTGCTCACAAACCTCATTTAAATACTCCATAGCTGGACTTCCCTAAAGAGTCAGAGTTTGTGCTGGCAGCATGGCCAAGGAATCTACCATTTCCAAACTGCATTTTTTTGTTTTGCTTTTGTTTTTGTTTTTGCTACCACTGAATCAGGAAGACCTCTCTTAAAGGAGCTGCAGCATACTGCCAGCAAGCAGAGCCCATCTGAAAAAAAATGTGGCTAAACTTTGTTTTTTAGTTTCTAGAATTCCTTTCCAAGTCCTCTCAGGTTTTATGTGGATTTAGCTAGTACACATTGGAGTGCCAATCTGTTGTGGTTTTTGTAACACATTTTAATTCTCACCATGTTTCTGCTCTTTAGTAGCTATATGTGTTTTGCCTGCAATGCTCTACAAATCTTCATTTTGTGCAAATGCATTGAGTTTATTTGAGGAGCATGACATTTACAAAATTAAGATAGTATTCTCAGGAAGGAGATAATTAAAGAGCACATGAAACTTTTGATCAATGCATTGAGAAGAATTAGGACCATGTGGAAACTTTAAACTAGCATGGACTGGAGAAAGTTTAGTTAAGTAACTAAGTCTCTGATAATAGAAGATTTTTTTTTTCCTCGAGCTATTGAAATCATGAAGAGGAAAACAATATCTCTACTCTCTGGAGCCTACCCAAAAGCTTTCCCACCAAAACAATAAACCACAAATGTGTGTGCAGACAAGTTGGAGAGACTCTGCTAGTCTATTTGACTATAACAGTATCGAGTTTAAACAACTTACCCAGCAATTTGAGTTTTCTACTTGACTCATTTTAGTGAGTTTCTTTTTATTTCACCACAAAAGATCTCACTGTAGCCTAAGTTGATCTAGGACTCTGTTTTGCTCAGCCTGGCTTCAAACTCTTGATTCTTGTATCCCAGCCATTCCAACATCAGGATTCCAGTATGTGTTACCAGGCCTAGTGTTTCAGACTTCTAAGGTGTTTGAGGTGACAGATCATCAGATTTGGGGCTTTTTTATTTCATGCAGTGAGTTAGGTGAATTCTTTTTCTAGTAAAAAACCAGTTTTACAATCCTGAATTTTATAACTACAAATTCATTATATAATTGTGCTGCATTAATGATAGATTTGGTTTGATCATGTTTAGTCAAAAATATTTGCATTTGTGAACATGAGTAAAGTTGGCTTGAAATTTCCTTCAATAATATTTTCTTGGTTTTAGTACCAAAGCTGTAATAGTTTGCTCATTTGTTCATTTACTTATTCATGTCAAGTCTTGCTTTGTTGTCTAGGCTGGCCCAGAATTCCTGGGCTCAAGCTATCCTGTCAGCTCTGCCTCTGAAGAAGTTGGGTTGTTTTGTTTTGTTTTTCCTGTTCTATGGAACACTGTATAAAATCCAAATTATAAATTATATAGACTTTGCCATTTGGTTGTACTGATCTGGAAAGCAGTGGATACCTGGAATTTTCTCATGAGCTAATTTTAATCTGGTGATCAATTTCTCTAAAAGTTGTGGATAATTCAGATTTTATTCTTAAAAACCCTTTTTTTAAAAAAAAAACAGAAAATCTAGTTTGTATTGCTCAGCTCCTCTTGGGTGTGGGATTAACGAGGAGTATGGTTGATATATTTGATGTTAGACCTTTTCAAGTTTGCATGGCTTTTACGCCCAACTCTGTCAAATTTTAAATTCATATAATTTTCTCTAGGTAAGGAGACAATAACTCTCTTTTGCTTTTGTAAATACTTAACTATTTATTTGATTCTTTTAAAAGAACATGCAGAATAAACCAAATTCTTGTTTTTTTGCAGCTCTTCCAATGAAATGACTTTATCACTGATAATGGATCAAAGCAACAGGTCCACCTTTCAGCTTCTGAAGTGTCAAAGTCAGGTGACTAGGTTGAGTATGTATTCTTTTCCAGAAGCAGACTTGAAGCCCGTGGAAACAGGACCAGAGACAAAAAGGATCAAGTTGACCTCTGGTAGCAAGGAAGAAGAAAACTCTTCTTGTGAACAATTATCTAAGATAGAATCTACCCACATAATTACTGCTGTCACGGCTCTTTCACCACTTCTAGTATTCAGCAAACTGTGTTGCACTTTGCTGTTAAACATTAGTGACAGAGATAGTGTTAAAAACACCGTGCATGATTATGTTATATGTGGCAGCCTTGATTTTAATCTACAAGACCTTTTTAGTATGAACCACCTACTGGCATTCCCAAAGAAGGAATCAATAGGTAATTTGAGGGGGTAATTTTTTATTGTATGCTTAATTGAATCAGAAGTTTTTGAAAATCGGTTGATATTAGACAGAATTTAAAGCTAGAATCTGTGATGTGTTTTTCTTGTAGAACATATGGAAGATCTTTTATTGCTTCTTGCAGCACTGCACAAATATTGTTTTCTTGTCACATCGCCTACCCATGCCCCGAATCTAATGAAGATATGGCTCTTGAAACACATGAAATGTGAAATAATCAATGGATTTAGAGAAATATACCTTTATAAAATGCTCCGAAATTGTGGGGCACTCTTCTCTTGGGAGCCGAGAACAACATTTGAAGGAATTTTAACAGTCTATTGCAGGTAATGCACAACCAGTTCAAATCAGCTCCAAGGAGTCCATGTGTCTGAGTGGTCTAATTACAGTCCTGTGTAGAATTCTATTTTCCATGTGTCTGAGTGGTCTAATAACAATCCTGTGTAGAATTCCATTTTCAGTGACTAGTATGCTGCTCTTCTTACTAAGCAAAAGATTCATAGTCAGGCCAGTAACCGGACTGCTAGTGAGTTAATTAGCACAAGAGATGGATACTGATATAATCCGAATTTTATTATCGAAAGCATGCATCTTTTATTATCCATCTTAGTGTTTATGAATGCATATTAATTGACTGCTGTAATCTTTTGCATGTGACTGTTGTGTGCTGTTGTAACTGGGTCACATTATGTCTGTCTTTTATTTCAGGAATGAGGGAGTTTTGTTCCACTGTCTTGACCAACTGATCAGAGTTCTCCCTGAAAGATGTTTCTTCAGTTATCTGAGATTAGGAAATGAGGCTTTCCTAATGGGTCACTGGTTAGACACTCTGGAGAAGGAACTAGTTACCTTTTGTTCTCTTTCCACTTCTGCCTTTGAGTATGCTAGAGATGGAGCTATGCATAAGACAAATGAAGCAAAGAATAGTCCTGCAGCTGCTTCAGAGGAAGAGAACAAGATCTGTCTGCACAAGCAGGAAGTGCAGAGAGAACGAATGATAAAGGACTTGAATTTGAAAGTGAATGGCAGCAGTTATGTGCAGATGACTTTGGCTTTAGCTGAGACTCAGCTGAAATCAGACCTTATTGCAGAGAAACTGGCCAATTTGTAATTGCACTTTCAAAGTCTTGTTTTAGGATATTCCAGCTATCATGAAGTGTTTAATTTGCTATCCTTATTTAATATAAAGATTAAAACTTATTATAATCCCTAGGATCTTGTTTTTCTTCTATTATTTTTGTGTATGCTGCAATTCCATAATCCAGGCTGTTCTAGAACTCGTTATGGAGCTCAGATTGGTTTTATTTAGGATTGGAGAAATCCCCTTGCCTCAACCTCCTGAGTACCAAAATTACATGGGTGTGCCACTACGCCGGCTCAATGATCAGTTTTGATGACACAATATAGTATTTCTAGTAAAGCAGAAGTTTATTATGTTCTCCTTTTATCTTCCCCTGCTTCTACTTTCTAATGCAAGGGACATTTAACTGTGGCTGGAGACTTCTTTTCTTGTTTAGAATGTGGAGGGTTAAGTGCTTTTATATTTTATATTCAGAAAAACTAAGGCAAATTAAAGATCTATATTAGAGACACTTTGGAATAGATGAGTATTTGTTGTGGGGTTTTGCTTTATGTTAGTAGGAAGTTTAGCAGCATCTTTGGTTTCCTCTACCCACTAGATGCCCATAATATTCCCAGCTGACCTTTGCTGGGAAGTAAAGGCCAGCATCCTATGAAACCTTCTATGCAAAGAACCAAATCCAATAATCCAAAGAACTAAAATGTTGATGATTTAAAAAACATGTGATTCTTTTTGGGTATTCTGTTTAGTAAAACAGGGCATGTGAAAAAAAGCTTCAAGTGGATGAATTAAGTCAGATGATCAGAAACTACTACTTGCTATATTTAGCTCTTCTGGAAAGCTAAATGTAGCGTTGCGTGAGACCAGTTTGTAAAGCTCTGGTTATATTGTATTAGACAGCTGCTCCGAAATTAGACAACTCTGTAGGAATGTAAAGAAAAGAACTTGGGACATTTTTCTTAAAAGTAGATCTCTCATCTCTCTCAAGAGACAAAGTGTACCTCGCAAGCTACTATATTATCAAAAGTAAAATTGTGGGGCTGGGCAGAGAGCTTAAAGGGTTAAAGCATTTGCCCTGCAAGGCTGGGGACCTGAATTCTGCTCTTGACATCTTCAGAAAGCTGGATGCAGAAGCATTCACCTCTAATGCAAGGCTCGCGCAAGGAGATGAGAAGTGGAGAGAGGAATTCCTGAAAACTCACGTGAAATGGCAAACAGTAAGAGACTCCATCTCAAACCAGATAGAAGGTTGCCGCACATGTCCTGGGTGCACACACATTATACATGCCAATCGTGAAAATGCTTTCGATGCCTTCTGAAATTCCAACTGTAGGCGAAAATGGAAATACAACAGTCTAACTAAAGAAAAAGAAAGGATATGGTTCTCAACAGAGGCAAAAATTTTAAAGTAAGGGAAGATATTAAAGAACTGATGTTTAAGATCTATTGAGACATTTGAAAGAGATTAAAATCTAGCCTACCTTCTCTTTCTGGAAAAGAATTGGATTAAGACTGTAATTAGTATGCGTGGGGGTGTGCAGGTGCCGTGGTATGCATGTAAATGTCCTAGAACACTTTGGGGAGTCATTGTCCTGCCACGGTGTGGTTCCATGGGATTGGGCTCAGGTCATCAGGCTTGGTGGCTAGTGTCTCTACCCACCCACTCGCTAACCCTGAAAACGAATTCTTAACTAATAACAGTGTCTGGAAAGGAGAGGAAGTGGGGGCAAGTGTAGGCAAAAAGGAATCTTCACGATCCTTTGTGTTTTACAATCTTTGACTAAGATGCTGATTGCCTTCTCAGTTGAAAGAGCTAAAGATGATTGTAGAAAGTGGTACCTTTTGTTTGCATACATGATGTACTAATTGCTCCCCTGCTCCTTGTAAACTAATGATCTGGATATGTAAATGGTTTGAAAAGAATGAATATAGGTTATTTTCTTGACAACTGTCAATTTGCCCAAATACCATAGAGAACATTTTCAAGACATCTTAAGTGTGACAGTTGTTTAGTTCTGGGCCTAGATTTAGTGAAGGGGCAAGGAATATAATATTTACTGACAGGTAGCTGTATGCCTATCAGTAATCTCGAGATACATATAAATACATTCATATGCATATCTGTACAAACATAAGGTTAATTTGCTGTTCAGTATTAGTGATTAAGCCTAGGTTCCCATACCAGCTAAGTAAATGCTCAACCACTAAACTATACAAATCCAGTTCTCTAACTTTAAAAAGTATATTTTAATTAAAATATAATTTTATCATTTATCCCTTTCCTCCAACCTCTCCCATGTCCCCTCCTACCAGTTCCTCCCATGTTCCCATACCTGTCTCTTCTCAAAGTGATGGCCTCCTTTCTTTGATTATTGTTGGTGATGGTGGTGCTGCTTTTGTTGTTGTTGTTGGTGGTGGTGGTATGTGTGTGTATGTAACAAAGACATCAAAACAGCTTGCTGAGCCCATTTTTATTTGTGTGTATATGAATTCTGGCCTGATCACTCTGTATTGTATAAGCAATTAGGGGACTCATGCCTGGGAGTGTCTATTTGCCTACAGTTCTTTGTATACGGGTGGGCCCCTGTGAGATCTTTTTCTTTCTCCAGTAGCATATCTGTCAATATCATGTTCAGGTCTTATTTAGGCAGTCACATCTAGGAGACACAGCCTTCCAGAAGACTTCTTGGCCCTCTGGCTCTTTCAACCTTTCTGTCCCATCTTTCATGATGTTCCCAGAGTCCTTGGTGCAGGAGATGCGTTGAAGTTATATCTGCTGGGGCTGGGCTCCCTGTGATCTGTTGACCTCTGCATTATATGCAGTCGTGGTTGTCTGTAATGGTCTTGTGACAGGATCTCACTAAGATATCTAGGCTGATCTTGAACTCACTCTGTAGCCTACTAGGCATGGAAACGTAGGATTTTCCTGCCCCATTATCCCAAGTAGCTACAATTAGAGACTTTTGTTACCTGTTCTGACTACACATGATTAGTTTTGCACCTAAACGTATAAGGTATAGTTATTAATTAGTATTGTTGCCTACTTGGGGAATTTTTTTGGAAACTTATGCCCTGGTAAGTACTTTACAAACTCTAACAATATGTAATTGAACACTTTATTGTCTTGAGAGCATCCTTTTATACCATTTAGAATCCACTAAATTTTTCCCCCAGTCTCAGGGAAAAAAAAACAAATATAATCCCCCTAAAACAATAAAAACCTGAGCCATCTAAGCTAAAGCTTCAGTTTCTCCCTTTCCTCTCTTCCCTGCTTTTCCTTTTCCTCTTCCACAGTCCTAGACATAAAGAAAAATGCTTCCTCCCTCCCCATGGTCTCTAATCTCACTTTGCAAAACCATCATCTCCCATTTTCAGAACTTGTAAATGTACACCTTTTTTCTCAGGTAATTTTTCCCATTTGAAGAGCATGGCATATTTCCTTCTAAGGACATTTGTTACAGTAGAAAGACACACAAACTATATATTTCATTGAGTTTTTCCAAGGCCTTGTTCTTTTTGACATTTGGGGTTATATGTATCTGTGATCTGAGTTGCTTACTGCCTCAAGAACAAGAAAAGCCTGATTTTTCTTTGCTCTGTACTTTCGGAATGGTAATGGTCTGCTCCTATTTTTAAATTACCTCTAACTTTTATTAGTATATTGAAGAAAATGTCTTCATTTATAGCCCATGGGTATTTTGCATTTTGGATGCTGATAACATATTGTACCACTGAAACAGAAGTCCCCTGACTTTAGCCCTTTGGTATCCTATTAGGACCTCATTTTGGTAATCTATCCTGCTGATTTTATGCAGTAGGGGCCAGGTACTGTTTAGATACTGATTTTTGATAAGAATAGTGAACCAAACACCCCACAGTGTTTTCATGTTGGGTTATTGGCCATGTACACCTCTGAGCGAATTTGCTGGATGAAAGTACTTGTGTTGGGGGGTGGTGTGTGTGTTGGGGGGACTGGGAGGAGGGGAAAGAGGGAAAACTGTGCTTGGGATATATTATCTAAGAGAAGAATAAATTTAAAAAGAAAGCATTGGGCCTATAAATAATTCAAAATCATGGCCCTGATTCAGCTAGCAAGTTTCCCCTCCCCGTTTTAACTTCCTCTTTAATTATGCATTTCCTCATAGTATTAGTTACTTATTAGGACAAATCATAAACAGTGTCATGGTCAGTAAAGCATAGCAATTGTTACCAAAATGCTTCCCATTAGTCCTAACAGGTTCCGAGAGGAGTTAGAGGTAGCATGTGCTGTGCTAATTGCCACTTGCACGCCATCTTCTCTTGCTGTATCACAACTTCCTTTTATTTAGAAAGTTCCTTTCTCCCCAGTTCAAGTGAATGTGGAGGTGGACTTAATCAGACAGAGAGGACTTGGGTCTCTGTAGAGGAAAGGACTCTATGTACATCCTGCTTGAAGTAGCTAGTCCTAATTTTCAAAGCTGAGAGCTATAATCACAGGAAATTAAGCCTTGGAATGAGATTAAAAGTAGACAGCATTTTTATTGTTAGATCTGAGTCAAACCAAATGCTGTTTTAACTGCACTGCCAATTACTTCAGAAAAAAAAAATTCCCTTTGACAAAAAGTAAAGGTTCTGTTAGAACTGAATAGTTTCTAGCTGCTAGCTTTGATACCAACACATACTTAAAAACTGTGTTTAATTATCCTCCCCCTCTGCCTGTCTCTCTCTCTATTGGACAGAGTCTCATTGTGCTGTCTAAACTGGCGTCGACCTTGCTACATAGTGCAGGTTGACCTCAAACTAAAAAAAAAACAGTAATCTCTGCTTAACTTCCCAGGTGCTAAGGTGACTTGTGTGTGCCGCCACCCCATATCCTCTGCTTCCTCCCTGTTACAGCAGGCCAGTTTCCCTTGGCATCCTCATTGAGGAAGGTTGTATGCCAGCCCATTGCAGTTGCATCTCTGCATTTCCCGTCTTAGAAATGGTAAATGGAAGGACTGTGTCTGGCTAACATGTTTCTGGCTTGTGTGTTTCTTAAAACATCTGAAAACTTTAGACCTTCAATTATTTCTTATAGCAATTGTTCTCATCTTCTCAGCTGGCTCCTGTCCTATAGCAAGAGAAGAAACCTTGATCATTTTTATTGTTCACA